GGGTCTGAGGAAAGGTATGTTCTGTGCCTCTCCCAGCTCCTGGTGGCTGCTGCCAATGCTTGGTGCTCCTTGGCTTATAGCTGCACCCCTCTAGTCTCTGCCCATCTTCACATCACCTTCTCTCTGCATCTCTATCTGCCCGACGTCATTTGAATACTTGTCATTGAACTTAGGGTACCTTCCAAGTCCAGGATGATCAATCTCATCTTGAGATCCTTACCTACATCTGCAAATACTCTTTTATCCAAATAAGATCACCCTCACCAGTTCTGGGGGTTAGAATTGGACATCAATTTTTTTTGGAGGTCACTATTGAACCCACTGCATTTGAAAATAGATGCTGGTAGTGCCATGGAATGCACCTGGTGTAGGTGGCAAGCAGACCTAAGTTCAAATCCCTGTCTCCCCCATGCTGGGGACCTATTCTTTAACCTCGCCAAGTCCCAGTTTCCCTTTTTACAAAATAGGAATAATAATTTCAAGCACACAGGTTGTAGGGGTCAATGAAGAAGTCAAAACCGATAAAAGCAGTCTCCAGTAGGTCAAGGGTGGTCCTCCTGGAAAGAGACGAGGGTGCTGGCTGCTGCACGGTTTGAGCAAATGATCCCCGCATGATTTTCCCACGTCTGCAGGTTGTAAGAACCACAGGTCAAGTCTGAATTCAGAACCTGCTCTGCTCCAGTCCAGTCTAGTGTTTGCTTATGCTCTTTCCAACTGTTCCTTAATGAGACCAGTGTGTGGAATTCAGATTATTTTAGACCCTGACTACTTAGCATGTTGGCCCCAGATTCCTGGTGCACCTTTCCACTAGGATTGTGTGGAGAGAGGACTGCGTGGTGGCTGTGTGGAGAAGGCGGGACAGGACGATAGCAACTAGGAATGTGCTCTAGAACCAGCATCATTCTCACAGCCCTGAACAGGCTCCCCAGAGCCTGGGGTGGCTCCCAGCTCTAAGTTTGCTTAACTAAGTTTGGCGATTTCATATCTGTGATGAAAGCATTGTTTGGGGTACTTTGTGCCCCAAAGCCGAGTTCTGGGCCCCTGAGACACAGCTGTCCTGATGCTGGTGAGGTGGGCCTTTTGGAAACGAGGCTGGTGGTTATACACCTTGCATGATCCATGCCTAGAGTGCACTATTTCCTTTGGAGAGCTCAAAACTATGTATTTAATTTAAAGATTCATCCCCTAAACTCCAGCCAGTGCCCCTTGAAGGAATTCCATCAGAGGTGGGGTGAGAAGCTACAGCAGGATCTGCCAGAGGGATGTGTCTGGAGTCTGAGGCACGAAAGGAGGCAAGAAGGCTGAGACCTTGTTTTAACTGGACCCACCCTGCCTGCCCGCACAGCCCTGGCTCTGTGCCCTCTGCTGTGGTTGCCGCCTGGCTCATCCTCACAAGCCTCCAGGTTGGCCGGCACATCTTCCCTGCTCTCTCCTCTCTGATGCTGTCCTGGGATCAAGCCAGGTCTTGCTCCTGCTATCTTTCAAGCCTGCCTGGTTTTCTCCACTCCACCATGTCCACCTTCCCTTAGGCTCTCTACATTTGAGAGCGGGGGCAGCCTTCTCACGCCTTCTCAGCACTTCTTCCTGTGCTTCCACCATTGGGAGTCCAGCATTTTCCTCCCAAAACACAGACGTGAGCCAGTCAGCCCTGAACTCACATACCTCTGGCGACTCACAGAGCTCAGTAGATCAAGCCCACACTCTTCCAGAACATTCTCTCTCCGGCTCATCTTCTCAGTCATGCCTTCCCAACCCCCTACCTCTGCTCTCCTTCCTCACACCGCTCACTCCACCTGGTTTGGCCCTTCCCCCACCACCGTGTACATTCATCTGTCGGTATCCTGTTACTTACAGATTGGGTGACCTTGGACTTGGAACCCAGCTCTGTAAGTCCCAGATTCCTCCCCAGGGAAATGAGGGTGGCAGACATCCACCTTGCGGGGTGACTAGGAGACAGAACAGGAAAAGCACAAGGCAGTGGGACAGCATGTGACATGCTGCAGGTGCCCAGGGGAGGAGAGCATGGTCACGGTGATGGCCATTGGTGCTGTCCCCTTACAAAGCCCAGCTCAATTCCTGTCTTCCCCATAGAAGCGGATTACCCACACAGAAATGATGTCTTCTTTCCTGCACACCCAGTTTAGTATTGTGCCTTATTTGATCATCTAGTGAGAAGATCCTGGGTCCTCTATTGCGGCATTAAACTGAATTATTCCAAAGCACCAGATCATATGCCATTCTTGTCAGAGGTACTCGTGGTGTAAAAAGAAGCAAAAGAAGCCTGTATCATTCTCAGTTGAGTTCACTTTTGTTGGGATGTGAGACGTTTCTAGATAAAGCTGTGTGGGACCTCAGGCTGAGAGGCTTGATCATAAATATCAAGTCTCTGGGGTGAGAAAGGTCAGTGAAGCTTGAGGGACCTGAATGCAGGCTGATCCTCACTACAAACAGCATAGGCTACACTTTCTGGGGAACTTCTTTGGTGCAGGGAGCAGGAATATTTTGCTGTATTGGTTTCCTAACAAGTTACCCCAGGTATGGTGGCTTAAAACAATGGGAATTTATCCTCTCACTTGTGAAGGCTGGACGTCTCAGACTGAAGGGTCAGCAGGGATGCTTCTTCCAGAGGGTCTGAGGAAAGGTATGTTCTGTGCCTCTCCCAGCTCCTGGTGGCTGCTGCCAATGCTTGGTGCTCCTTGGCTTATAGCTGCACCCCTCTAGTCTCTGCCCATCTTCACATCACCTTCTCTCTGCATCTCTATCTGCCCGACGTCATTTGAATACTTGTCATTGAACTTAGGGTACCTTCCAAGTCCAGGATGATCAATCTCATCTTGAGATCCTTACCTACATCTGCAAATACTCTTTTATCCAAATAAGATCACCCTCACCAGTTCTGGGGGTTAGAATTGGACATCAATTTTTTTTGGAGGTCACTATTGAACCCACTGCATTTGAAAATAGATGCTGGTAGTGCCATGGAATGCACCTGGTGTAGGTGGCAAGCAGACCTAAGTTCAAATCCCTGTCTCCCCCATGCTGTGGACCTATTCCTTAACCTCGCCAAGTCCCAGTTTCCCTTTTTACAAAATAGGAATAATAATTTCAAGCACACAGGTTGTAGGGGTCAATGAAGAATATATCTATCTGGCACATAGTAGATCCCCATATAGTTAGTGTAGTGATTCCCACTACTCATTCATTCAACTGAAAAACATTTAAGTCTCTGAACATCAAGGTGAAAGAGACATAGTACATGGCCCTTAGTCATATTAGCATTTAGAAGAGGTTCAGTGTTTGTTGAATGAATAAATAAAATAAGTGATCAGATCCAAAGCCTATCAGAAGTACTTGCCTCGTGCAGGCCCCGGGTGAGGCTCTGGCAACTATTTTTATACAGCTTGCTGCCTGTAGAATGAGCAATGATGCCAAACCTTTAAAGGAAGCTTGCTTTTTGGACTATTCCTTAAAACTCTTAAGGAATATTTCAGGCATACCTCATTTTACTGTGCTTCACTTCACTGAACTTTGCAGATACTGTATTTTTTACGAACTGTAGGCTTTGTGGCAACCCTGCATCGAGCAAGTCTACCAGCCCCATTTTTCTCGCAGCATTTGCTCGCTTTGTGTACTTCTCTCACATTTTGGTAATTCTCACAATACTTCAAACTTTTTCATTATTATTATGTTTGTTATGGTGATCTGTGATCAGTGATTATGAGTCAGTGGAAGCTCAGATATTGGTTAGCATTTTTTAGCAATAAAGTATTTTAATTAGGGTAGGCACACATTTTTTAGACATAATGCTGCTGAATACATTTAGACTACAGTATAGTGTAAGCAGAACTTTGTATGCATTGAAAAGTAAAACAATTCATCTGGCTTGCTTTACTGAGATGCTAGCTTCACTGGGGTGATCTGCACTGAACCTGCCCTGTGTCTGGGGTACGCCTGTATTGTATTGTCATTTCACTTCATCAGCCTGATGTGTGCCCTTTGGGTGGATTCTATAGGGAATTCATGGCAAGAGGCAACATGGTGTCCCAACTAAAGAAAAGCACAGAGCAAAGTGAAAAACTAGAAAGCCAACTGGGGGCTAGGCAGGTAACAGTGTGGGTGGGCAAGCCCCCTGGAGAGTGTGTGCCTGTTTAAAGAGGACAGCTGCTGCCCACTCCTTCATTCAACCATTCTTCGAGTATTCTCTATGTGCCCCACATTGTGTGAAGGCCACAGGGCTCAACAGTGCAAACCCCTTGTCGTCATCAAACTTCTATTCTGTAAACCCACCTCCAGTCACCACATGGGTATCCAGGCCTACTGAGACCGAGTCATCTTCTTCTGAAAGAGAAGAAGCCAGAATTCTGTGTGCAATCTCCTAATGTTTAGATATTGGCAAACACTGTACATTCTTAAAAGAACACTGCACAGTCCAGACAGAACTTGTCTCTTGTGACCCTTGGAGTGGAGACTCACGATTTTTTCCTTGAGAAGCACTTTTTCAAGCTAATTCCCATCTTTTCTGCTCTCACTGGAAGTTGCTAGTGGTTACTACCTCTTCCTGTGTCCTCCAAGATCAGATGATTCTTTTGTGTTCTGTTCCTGTATTTTCAGGTGAAACTAACCTGAATGTCAGTTTTCCTTTCTAATTCCTTTTCCGAATTTCTAATGACTGTTTTCTGTTCTCTCAAGCTTCCGGAAAGGCCGTTAGTGTTGCTACCTGGTCCTCCACATTTCTTCTCTTGAGGGTCAGAATCTAACCCAAGCTCTTAACTAAACTGCTCATGAATTAGTCTGCTTTTAAGCATACCTTTCTGACTCTGTCATCCAATTTTCACAGTCTCTGACTTGCACTGACTCCCAACCTTAGGTGTGATATTAATTTCTCCCAGAGGGACATGGGTTTAATCGACATTTTTAATTAACATTTTGTAAAATTGGAGCTGTCATGCTTTATGGCAGACTGATACAAATGTCTATAATTACATTTTTGGCACTACATCTTGGGAATAGTCTAGAGATGTTTGTTTTAACCCCTTCTTAAAATGTTCAGATTTATGGGCAGGCCTCTTTATGCACCCCTCCCTACAGGCCCCATTGTCATGACAACAAAGAACATCATTTATCAAAGAGCTATAACTTCATTCTATGTTGAAGCTAAAAATTAATCTTCTAGAGTTTATTCTTATGACAGGGAAATTTTGCATTTCCATAGATCTGCTTCTTCTCCTTAATTCTGCTCATCGTTGGGGAGATTCTGGCTTCAGCAGAAGATTTTCTAGAGAATAAGATAAACCCCCCACTTTCTCCTCCACCCTTCCACACAGATAAATTCTCTTATCCATTCCAAAGATAATTCAAATGGACTCATTAGTACCAAAAAAAAGTAGAATTTCCCTTATGTTTTCAACTCAATATGATTTTTGTTTCTTTAAAAAACATTGAATTTTTTTATTGGCTTTTTTTTTTCAGCTAGCAAAGTTCAAGTAAAGGGAAGAAAGAAAATGTCTGTCAATCTCTTCTATAAGCTGGAGAAGAGTGAGATATTTAGTTACTATATTTACTTGTGTGATCTGTGACTCAAGGATTACCAACTCAATGTCTACTATAGGGGCCAGGCAAATACATAAATCAGTACAGTGGGTTTCTAGGGACACTGCATGCCCTAATAAAGGGGGAGATTTCATTTCTGCTGACAGAATGTGGACCATTCTGCAGGATTGTCCCATTTCATTATTTTTTAAGCCAGAACTCTGTATTATATGAAATTTCCTGATTTTAAAATGTTGACAGATCACATATAGGTTATTTTTTAACAATGTATTTTTTTTAACAAGGGCAGATCATGTATATATATATATATTTTAAACAATGTGATAGTCAAATGAACTTGGAGGGCAAGTTCACTCCATGGGCTCACTGATGTAATTGGGTAGTGTGTTAAGCCATGCTATCCGAGAGTTTAGAATGGTTTTGTTTTCTCTGCGTTGAACAACTAAACCAATTCAGTTCTCAAGCTCTTCTCAGGATCTGATGTGTTGAATATTGTTTCTGCAGGCTGCACTGGAGGAGATGGTCTGCCCATTTGTCTGCTGGGTAGCACTGGGCCCTGGGCAGAGTGTGAGCTGTGAATTAGGGTTCATCTCTGAGACCCACACAAACTCTGCTCTGATACTCCAAGATAGATAGTGGGGTCCACTGACATCTTCAGGGATCATCTATGGATTTATATTCTTCCCCTTTGATGGATGGGGCAGTTTGATCCTCTTCACTGAGCTCCATAGTTTTCTTTTGTATAGGGACCTCCTAAATGGCCACTGCCTCTCCACAAGAGATGGCAGGGATTTTTTTCTCACTGAATTTGAGAGTGTTTTGTTTCTCATTCATCAGACAGGAAAACATTAGTAATTATTAGGAATATTCCATCAAAAATTTCTGGGGGCAAAGCTGCTCTGTGGCTGCCACTGCACCAGAATAGGAGTGGTTTAGGTAACACGCACCCCGTGCTGAGTCCGCTTGTCACTGGATTTAAGACATTAAAGGGCTCATGTGGATGATGCTAAACATGGGAACGGGGAAGGCTCTGGCAGCAGGACGGGCTTAGGAGGTGCTTTGCACCATTCAGACCTCGTGTCATCTGGCCTTTCCCTCCTTTTCCACCCTGTTCCAAACTGCCTTTCACACTCCAGCCTCACCAAGAGTCCCTACGGGTCTCCAGCCACCTTCATGCTTTGGTGTTCTGTGCCCCATACCTGGGAGGTTATGCACCATCCCATCTCATTTAAACCCAGGAAGGGTTTTATAGTGTCCTAATGAGTGTTTGAACTTTAGCCATGTTGGTTAGAAGTGTGATAAACACAATCTCCAGATCAGTGGTTTTAGAAGCCGGCACCAGACAGGAGCTTCTGATTCTTCCCCTTTCTCCCTGTCCCACTTCACTGAGCGGCCGAAGGCATTTTCTTTTTGTATTGTTTAGTTCCATCTTTCTTTGAACTGATCTTAGCCTATAAGAGAGAAAGAATATGTTATAATAAGGTAGATTATTGTACAAATGTGCACATTCCCCCTGTTTCAGGGAGGGACAGTTTAAACTCTAAAGCTTTTCTTAATATTGTAAATAAATTTTAAACTACCACCTAATGGTCATGAACTGATTCTGATGCTCATATCTTGTTTATTTCCTTTCCTAAGATATTTTTTAAAATTATACCGGTAGTGCATTTTTAACAAATATATCAATTACAAATAAAGGAGTAAAAATTTCTTATATTCTTGCCATCCAGGAGTATTTTACTTTTTTCCTCTGATACCCTTCTTTGCATATAATTATTACATGATTGAAATAATATTGTATATGCAAAGATTTCTTCATGGAATTAATATTTCTCAATCAAGTTTTTCATGGCTCCTTAATATTTGATCTTGTGAATAAACCATGATGTACGTAATCATATTCTAGTATTAGGCATTCAAATAATTTCCAATTTCATTTATAAAAATAATACCGTACTGGCATTTTTGTCCATACTTCTGTTTTTTTCCCCTTAGCACTTATCTCAGACTCAAAGTTTCTAAGTCATCAGGTTTTAATTTTTAAGACTCTTATAATAATATATTGCCATTAACTTGCCAGAGGTACTGGCTAACTTTCCATCATACCAGAAGTGTATAAGAATTCTCTTGTAGTACCCCTGTTGAGTGTCTAGCACTGAGTTTTGTTAATTTTTCCCCTAGCCTTTGTTTTAGTGTTTATGTGCTGTTTTGTACACATGTCTCCCTGTGGTCGAGTGCACATGTGTATTCACTGCTAGTAAGAAAGAACGGCATGTCTGGTCTCCTAGGGCTGTGGTATGTTGGAAGTTCCCTGAGAGAAACACCTGCCATGTACCAGGCAATACTTGAAGTGCTTTGCATACACCAACTCCTGTAATGCTATGACTTTCCTATGATGTGGAATAGCAGTATTACATACTACTAATAGTAGATATTACTACTACCCCGTTTTCTCAGAGATGGAAGCTGAGGCCCAAGGAAGCTCCATGACTTACTGAGGTCATAGAGCTAATAAGTTCAGAGCCAGAATTCAACCAGAGCCAGCCAGAGTCTACACTCTTAACCATTCCTGGAGTGCTTCCTACTCCTGTAAGAGAGAAGAAGAGACAGAACGCATGGTCAGCACCAGTGCTCCCAGATGGCAAGGTGCCTTACGAGAGTCTTCCAGCTCTCTTTTCTCCCTGAATGGGAGAAGAGGTGCAGGTCCTAGACTCAAAGTAGGAGAAACTTCCAAGAAAGCAAGATCTTTTAGCTCAAACAAGAAGGTATTTCACAGTCTCAGAAAATAAAATTTGTAAATTATTCTTCACAGTAAGACAATAAGACTCAGATCAACTCCAAAAGATTGAGAAATTGCATTTGCCATTGCATCTAGAAAACACAATTCTTTCAGAAATACAAAGACTCATATTATTTTCTTTTTATATTGACCTTGAGAAAATGAATTCAGTTCATATATTTTCTAATTCCTTCTGTTGCTGTCTCTTTAACTTAAAACACAGTGGGTTTTGTCTGGTCTAGTTATAGGCTTGAGCTGCTATATTAATAATCCCAGTTTATTTCAGTACACAAGCATTTGACAGTCACACAGGGACATTGGACATTTTCAAGGAATGCAGAGATATGAAACATACCCTTAAGAGATTTATAATCTCACAGGGAATTTAAAGTTTGCAAAACAAATATAGTAAGGTACAATGATATAGATACCATGAAACAGGTTTAAAGAACCATGGGGATATAGTGAGCAGAAAGACACAGTATTTTGCTGGCATTTCTGCCACCCCTGGAAGGATGGGCTCATGTATAAGTGAATGGAGGTGAGGGGCAGCCTGGATGGACGAATCAGGAAGTGGGAGATGTAGATGCATCAGATGCCCAGCAGTATCATGTGATGAGACTGCTTCATGGGCGCACACTGTGCCTTCACACAGTGTCCCCTGCAGAAGGGCTGCATTCATGGCTTAATGCTGTGCTGTCAAAATTTTGAAATACTTAATAATTTATGAATAAAGAGCCCACGTTTCATTCAGTACTGAACATCGCATATTATGTAGCTGGTCAAGCTCCTACTACCATTCATAGGCAAAATAGACCAAAAACAGCTGCCTTCTTGCCCAGGCAATAATTTACATTCCTTAGAGTGGGTATGGCTCTAGTCTCCTCTCCTGGATAAGTGGTATTCTTTGGCCAAGGAAACCCATAACAACTGCTTAAGTATTCCTTCCCACTCTTTCAGGCATGCCTCCATTGAGAAAGACTTCCGCAATTCAATCCCAGGCATTTTATCTGGGAGCTTGGATTACCCTACATATCTTTTCAGGAATAGTGATCTTTTAGGGTGGCATTTAGTAGCTGTCACCATTCATCAATCAGCAATTATTGAGTGCCTGGCCCTGTGCGAGGGCCCTTTCCTCGCTTGCCCCAGCATCATCATCAATCATCATAGTAGATACATTCGGTGTTCATCTGTGCATAACCCTGCACTGCAAGATGGAATGTGCTAAAATGTATTCTGTCGGTGAAACTAGCCAGACTCTGAAGGGCAGCAATTGCTGGTACAGTGAGCTTTTCCACATCAAAGAAGGATGTGTCTTTCAGGTGCCAGAACCATGGGATCATTTTTCTGGCATCTTCCACTATGAGATTCAGACAGAGATAACCATAAACCCACAAAAATTCAGAGATGATGCCCTGGGTTGGCTGAGAATCACAGCTGCTTGTGCCTCCCACCTCCTTTATAATAGTCATGTTGCAAAATTATGCAAAATCCTTGCCTTCCACATTAGTGCTGAAATAACTGAGTAGGTAATGGCAACATGCAACTGACTCAGGGAAGCCAGCTCATGGTAAACTATTTAGAAATCATGTATGCAGAAATACTTTGAAAAATATAATATGTGAAAATAATGTAAGTTGTTGTATTTATGCTTTATAGAGCTTGCTTGAGGCAGTTTCTGCATCTCCTCCTGCAATGCCAGCAAGTCCTAACCTAATATGAGACTCAAAACAATTGACAAGATGAAACAGCTCCAGAAACATAAGGAGGCCTTCATGGTTGAAGGGTAGGATAGGATTTAATGGGTCATGCTCTGTGCCAAGGCAGAATGCTGGATCCCATTGTAACTTGGGGCCATCTTTCAGCAGAAACCTCAAAGAAACAGGATCCCTCATCATTTGAGCCCCATAGTCCCACGCTTTGCCAAAATGTTTAGTATTAGCCTTATGGTGGGAGCAAAACTGTTAAAATGTGCTGACATATTTTGAACATTTTGTTAATGAAACAACTACTTCTCAGATACTTAAGGCCAAGCACATTGGTACAAGGTAGACGATCATCTCTAGGTGCACAGATATGCGCGTCAAGGGCAACTCTTCTTGTGGTCTGCCCTGTCCATTTGTCCCACAATTGGTTAGAAAATGTTGGCTGTGTTGTTGTCTTTAAGGAAATAGCTCTGCATGGACCTGAAATACCTTGGATCAAGGAGGATGCTCTTGGGTTAATTTGAGCGTAATGATTATCAAGAACCTTCCAGGGACTTGGGAACATGTGAGGTACTGAGGGAGACAATGTGATGAGCAAGGAAAGTCTGTGACTTCACAGAACTTGCGCTCTAATTGTGAGAACAGATTGGTTTCACTATCCAATTACACTAGAATATGACATGATTCTCTTCTAACATAATCTAATATCATCACAGATGATACAGGACCACAGTTCTTTATCCAAAATGCCTAGACCCAAAAGCTTTGGATTTGGGGACTTTTTGGATTCTAGAAATGCAATATGGTTCCTATAGTGAATACCACTACCACCTTCAGAGCACCTGGGGAGCTCTTTATAATCATGTGCAGTGATATTTCTGCAGTAAAATAAGAATAGTTACACTAATTGGAATAAGCAAAGTCTACAAATAACCTAACAGCGATTTAGGTCAGGTTTTATTGCCAAATTGAATTTACATTTGGGTTTTGGTATGTTTCAGATTCCAGAAGTGCAGATCATGGATTGGGAGCCTGTAGTTGAGAATAATATGGAAAAGTATATGTAACATAATCTTAAATGATTTTGGAATCTGCTGTAACAGAGGTCTGTGAGAATAATGTTATTTCCCAAATACCCAGAATAATGTCTGGCACAGAGAAGGCATTTGATAAATATTTGTTAAGTACATAAAAGTAGCATTAAGAAATGTAAACTGTCTTTTATTGAGTGTCTACCCCATGCCAGACACAGGGCTCTTCATATCAATGCTGCTGGGTAGGTATTGCTGTTTGTACTGTTATTCTTTATTTCTAGATGAGGAAACTGTGGGTGAGAGATGATAAGTGACATGTCCAAGGCTATCTGGGTGGCAGATGGTAAAGCCTGGTATACATCTAGTGGCTATGGCTGTGGTGGCCATGAGCACGGTCCCGTGGCAGGCTGCCTGGGTTCCAAGTCCTAATTCTGCCACTCACTGGCTGTGGGAACTCAAACAAATGATTTGACTTCTCAGTGCTTACATTTCCCCAAACGTAGAATAATGGAAATAACAAGATCTACCTTATAGGACTGTTTAAAGATGCACTTAAAGTGCTTAGAAACCATAACTGGAACCTAACAGGGCTTCTATGAATGTTGGCGAAATTGGAGGCATGGGAGGGAGACTTTGTACCAAAGGATTTTGTCCTATGACTTTTAGGCATAAAAAGATAAAACTTCAGATAACCTTTTATACAACCTAATTACAAAAGAATAATGCTGTGGTACTGTGACAAGCTAAGAGTACAGTGACTAAGTCTAAGTTACAGAAGAAAGTCTATTTAGTTATCTCCATGTGGTTTAGGTGTTGACAGAATTAAATAACTTATAAAAATGAGAGGATTAAGAAGAGAAGAATACCTCCTTTATAATAAAGATGCTAAGATGCTACATCTTTTTTAAAAATCTTTTTTTCCAGTTTTATTAAGCAGTAACTGACATACATCACTGTATAAGTTTAAGATGTAGCATGATGGTTTGGCTTACTATATGGGGAAATGATCACCACAACAGGTTTGGCTAACGTCCATCATTCTCATACCTTCCTCCAGTTGCCCCTCCCCCATATCCCCTTCCTATCATAACTGTAAGTCTGACCTCTTTTTCTTTGAGTTTAGTGCTTCTTTGTTTAGATTCCATATATATATCTACAGTGTTTGTCTTTCTTTGTCTAATTTACTTCACTTAGCATAATGGACCAACAAGGTCCTACCATGTTGTCCCCAAAGGCAGGATTTCCTCATTTTTTATGGCTGAGTAGTACTCCATTATATATGTATACCACATTTTGTTTAAAGTTTCCATTCATCCACTGGTGGACACTTAGGCTGTTTCCATGTCTTGGCTATTATAAATAATGCTGCAGTGAGCATGGACGGATGTTGGACATCTTATACCAAAAGGCACCATCAGACTTAATGGTGAAATATCTGAAGTTTTCCCATTAAGATCTGAAGAATACAAGAATGTATATATTATCACTATGATTTTTTCTTCTGAAATTTCTAGCTACTGGAATAAGAGGAAATGTATTTAAGAGGTTTAATCTAAGGAAAAGAGAAAGATGTTAATATTTATGGATATTATAAGTGTTTAGAAAATGGTGGAGAACCAACTAATCAATTTACAAAGCTAGTAGTAAATCTAAAATTTCTATAATCTGGATACCAAGCAGATTATTTAGTAGCTCATAGCTCACACGTATGTTAGCAATAATATTAGACAATATATTGGGGGAAAAAATGTCCTTCAGAATGGGAAAACAATACCAGTGATAACTTTAGTCCATCCAGAAGTAAACAAGGATGGAGATGAGAGAAAGCCATGCATATGAAGTTGGTACTGTCCACAGAATTTGTAACAGCAAAAAAAGAGAAAAAATCTAAATGCTCAATAATATCAGAATGACGAATTGAATGACGGTAACATTTCAAAGACAGTAAAAGTCAAGTATGTGCTCACAGTTTGAGTAAAAAGTTCAGAATTTAAAACTATGTGCAGTATAGCATTTTATATGCATCATGATTCTAAACTTATTTCTTATATAGAAAAAATGTGCTAAAATCTCCTGTATGCTAATAATTATGGGATATGGCATTATAGGTGATTTTAGTTTTATTGTTTACACTTTCTGCGTTTTTAAATTTTTTACCAACAGCAAGCATGTGTTTTATAATGCAAAAGTTATTCACAATCTTTTAAGGAAAAAACAACACTGGGAGAGTGAAGTTACCTACTTAGTACTATTTTCCTTCCCATAATATATATTATTTTGAGAACGTCTATTGACGATCTGTGAAGTAAAATAAATAATGGTTTATTTATTCAAAATAGTTTCAGTCTTTAAAATACAGAACAGTTCTATTTACCTTTGCTTCACTGATGAAAAATAAGTGAAATTCTGCACAGAGGCCTTAATGATTTTCTTCATGTTTGGCTGTAAGACTTGGATTCAATTTCTGGAACAGAGGAAATGCCAAGATGTATGAGAAGCCACTGGAAGGTGAAACATCCATTTCATTAACTCTTTGAAAAATAAATTACCTCACTTCCTTTATTGCTGTAGTAATTAACCCACATTCATACCGATTCTGACCAATGCTGTGTATTATTTATTATTGTGCATTTGTGGTTTGGTGGTCAACCTAATGGGTATCTTTGTCAGATGGTTTTTGTGTGTTGGGACATTGAGGCAGCTCTCATCTGCTCTTCTCACTTCTCACCAGAAGAGTCAAAATAGGTTTTTAAAGAACCTACTGCAGTAGAGACCACAGGTGACTTAATCTGTTTGAATTCTGACTTTTCACTGGCTTCTACTGTATCCTATTCATTTTGGTTAATCTGTGCCACTGACCCATGTATGTGAGTCCCCCACTTCTTTACACAAAATTTGGCACATAATAATTGTTCCCTTAATGTTTGTGGACTGGGTGGAAATGAAAATAAAAACTGGGGACTTCAAACCGTAGTTTGAAATGTCCTTATCCGTGCAGGTACCTCCTGGGGTTCCTCCAAAGGCAGGTACCTCCTGGGGTTCACTCACGTGCAGTAAAAATCCGGACCAGTGGCAGCTTCCTTCCTTTGATCAATAGCCAATATTTACGGAATGGGTGTCCGCCCCCTGCTCTGTGCTGAATCTGGCCCAGGGTTAGACTTCAGGACGCGGAGCTGACTGCAGACGCAGACGCAGACGCAGGGCAGGCTCCGCTCCTTCAGGCTGGGCGTCGGCGTGCCTGTGGCTTTCCTCCGCTTTGCTGCCCAGGAGTCCTGCCGCCACCGTACCCCTAATCCCTGCACACACAGGCAGCGCGCGAGGGGGAAGCTGCAAGCACATGAAGCGTGTCTGCAAAATGCAGACAAATTGCTGCTTTTTATTAGAGGCATGGATGAAGGACTTTGGGGAGCTCTGAAACTGCAGGGTGTTGGGTTTCTTTACTTTTTCTCAAGCTCTACTTTCAAAAATACGATATTATTAAGTGGTGCATTTGCTGCCAACATCCACCCCACCCCCCACCCCATCCCCCGCTCTCTCCCTGCCTCCCTTCCTTCTTTCTTCAGACCTTAGAAATAAAGTAAGATCTCTTTGTTGATTATCCTCACTGATTAGGAAGAAAATATACAGCCCGTTCTTACCAAGTACAGACTTTTGTGAGACACGCACCCTCCGTCCCGCCGGAGTCACTCTCTCGTGTGGACCCTTCCTTGACCTTGTTATTACCAACCTCTCCACAGCCTCAAGAAGCCCTTGCTCGGATCCTGTTTCCAGCTTACCCTGCTACCTCTGCTCCCCTGATGCCAGCCAATAGTCCCCTGACCTTCCTGGACCACAAACATCAGCCCCGCCTTTTATTTTCACTCTACCTCATCATGTGCTCACTTCTAACTTTACTTCCCTGGCCACGGTCCCTAATCACTCCCTTGCACATACTCACGGTGTCCTTGCTCTTCTCTTGGCGGAACAGCCAGCGGGTACCTGAGTGTTCCCCAAGCCCGGGCACTGCTGGGCACCCTGTCGCCAGCGGCATGGGCAGCCCTCAGCCTCCCTGTCTCCTAGAGAAAGGCTCCATGCCCTCCTTCCCTCCACATCCCTCTCCCTCCTCCTCCTCCTAACTCCCTCTCTTTCCTTAGTCTCTGTAGCTCCCCACTGTGCTTTGCACTGCCTGGAGAAAACCACAGCCAGCCTCCAGGAGAGAACCTGCCCTGTGCCCCATGCATTTGCTGGTGCGTGGCTTGGCCTTCCCTCCTATCACTGTTTCTCCAGGACAGCCCTGCACGTGTGCTCTGGATTCTGCCCCTTTCACCCCACGGAGGGCATCACACCGGCGACCATCCCTTTCTCCCTGCAACCTCACCTTTCCTTCTGTGCTGGAAACACACTGCCCTGTCTCACATCTGAGAAAACAAACTGTCCCTGACCTCCGCCCCCTCTGCCCCCTGGTGCTCTTTATCCCCAAAGGCTGCCCTTCTCTCCCGTTCCTCTCTCCTTTCACTTCAGTTCCCTCAAACCAGGCTTCTGCGCAAACGCAGCAGCACATCGGCCGCCTTCAAGGTCACCACGGTTAGTTCCCACGCTCACGCTCCATCCTCATCCCACTTGGCCGTCAGCAGCCCCTGGCACAGCTTCGCGGATCTTCTTCAGGTGCTTACTTCCCTTGGCACCCAGGACCCCCGCCCGTCTGTTGTCCTCCCACCTCAGAGCTGGCTTGTTTCATCTCTGGTAGCCACTGCTGAGCCCCAGACCTCAGTACGTGAGACCCCTCCTGTCTAGCTGCACGTCCTCTCTGGGAGATTTTATCCCACTACATGGTTTTGAATCCATCTCAGTGCTGGTTTTGCCCACCTCTGAGCTCTGGTGAGGTGCCGGGGGGGCTCCTTTTCTGAACTCCAGACCGATAGGGCCAACCACCTGCTCAGCAGCAGTGCTTGGATGTCAGTTTTCCTCTTACACTAGCACATCCAGAACAGAGTCCTGAACTGTCCCCTGAGATATGATCCTCCCAGAGTCTAACCCATCTCAATAAATCTGTGAGTCAAGCCAATGTTTGCGAGTGCTCATGGCATCCCTTCCCTCACACCCATTGTCCAACCTCTTACCAGCTCTACCTTTGAACTATATCTAGAACCCCATTGCTTTGCCCCTGTCCAGTGGCTGCACTGACTGCCGGCATAAGCTTCCCTGATCCGCCTCCTGGAGTACCTGGCCTCACTGGTGCCTTGCTGTTCAGAGACCAGCCTGGGTACACTCGTTCCCCAGGGCCTTTGTTCTGTGACTCCCCCTTTCTGGAACGCTCTCGTCTCCTGCAGGCCCTTGTTCAAAGATCTCTGGAGGACTTTCCTGGCCATTCATCAAGCGGCAGTCCTACTCCTACTGGGTTGCACTGTTCCTCTTCCCAGCCCTGCCTCTCTGCAAAGCCCTAGTCACTAACGGACACATTGTGCATTTCCCGGCTATCACTTTGATCATCTGTCTCCCCCACAAAATGTAAGCTGCATTGATGGCACAAAATGTTGCTCTTTTGTTCACTTGCCTTAAGATATTTCATCATAAAAAGTATTTGTTGAATAAGTGAGCAAAAGAATGAATGTCCCAGGTTGAATCTGGGGGACAGTGAGGTCCAGGGCTACTTGATGAGAAAGCATTTCATTGAAAGTGAAAACCTTAGGGGCCCAGATGTGTACATATGTGCAGATGTATTGAATCCCATAGACAAAACAATGAAGCAACAGGCAGAATTATGTATCCTTTTCCCCAGAAATTTGATGGCACAGCCAATGGGGGTGACTCTGGAATCCCTCTGAGTCCCCTGCCTGGCATTTCCAGCACGCTCTCCTGCCATTTCAGCTCTTCAGCACAGGGAAGGCCTGGGTCATCTTGCTCTGGGTGCTGAGCACACACTGGGGTTCCACGCTGTCCTGTGCAGAGACCCTGACCTCTCCGGTGAGCAGTGGTGACCTTAGTCCATCACCCTCCACAGTCAAGTGTCGCCCTCTGTACATGTTTCCCCAGTGCCTGCCAGGGCCCCCTTCATTCAACATGTGTTTACGTTACTAGAGCATGAGCACTGCTTTTAAGACATTAATAATTTCCTCCTTCTGAGGACCTGAGAAAATCAGCTATGAGCCCCAAGGAAGAACCTTGGCCAAAGACATTGGTCCACTCAGGCCTCACTTCCGCTCCTGGACCACAATGTCTGGCTGAGCTCCCGGGGCTGCGGCTCCCGCTTTGGTTCTTTCTCTCAGCGTCATCTGCCCATGATGCTGCTTTGCTCGTCACACTGTTGTAAGGATGTGATCCACATGCCTATGGGACCCTCCTCTTTCCCTGGGTCCCTGGCTCAGGGAGGTTGGGGTTTTCTTCTGTATGAGAATTTGAATCCACCTTGTCCATGGTCTGGCACCACTACATGGCTGTTCTGATAAGAACTTTCTGTTCTTTAGGATGAATGTAGGAAACAACTAGACTTTGCTGAACATCTTGGGGAACAGCTGGATGGCTGAGTTCTAGATCCACTAGTAGGTCCAGTATAAGGACTATGAGATCTTAGAACATGAACACCTGTTTTTTCAAAAGCTTATGAACGGTCCTGGGTGCCTGGATGGGGAGGGGCATGAGAGGGTACACACTTGGATGACGTCTGCTCTATCCCTGTGATCAGCTAGTTTGTCTGACTAACTCTTGATGACATACTCACATGGCTCCATTTCCTGCCTGTGTGACCTGAAGATTGCAGAAGTCCTCTGCCTTAGGAACAGGGGAGCGTAATGCCTGCTCGATGGTGTCATGGTGGGGATTTAATAAGAAGATGCCTAATACATAGGAAGAACTCTGTAAATACAAGTCCTTCCCATGATATTGCACACAGTAGGTTTGCAATGTAAACACTTTGCTGGATAGATTCCCTGGGTCTGTAAGAGCTGAACAGTTATTATACCTGGAGGTGTTCAGGAAGGCTGGTGAAGTAGATAAGGCATGACTCCTGTGCCCTGCCCCTCTCTCACACCCTCCCCACCAGCTCCCAGCTAGTCTCCTAAGCTTCAGACATTCCTTCCTCCTCATTTAAAGGCTGCCCACTGTCCTTCACTGCTCAGAGTCCCTGCTGACATGGTTGGCCAGCTGCTCTGTCAAACAGTGCTTGGCCTTAATGGCTGTGGCAGTTTGATGTGTTCTCTTTGCCTGGGATGACTGCATTTTCCCCAGGGAGTTTTGAAGGCAAGAGCGAGAGCACAAAGATGTGGATCTCCAGTGGTGGGCCACAAGTGGTCTGGCCCTGCCTTGAGTTGAACAACTCCAGGGGGCACCAGTCAGAGTGGAGTGCAATTTCTTAGCCCTGTGCCTGTCTGATGCAGGGGTAGAGGCTTTATGCCAGGCACTGTGCAGGAACAAACACTTGAAAAACTAGAGGCTTCTTCTCAAAGAGTTTGTAATCTAACCGAGGACACAGGAAAGTAAAAAGATC